CCATTTATCTTTTGGTACAGATCTGGTTTGATTAGGGTTCAAGTAGATCCTTGAATATTGTATTCTAAATTCAGGGAATATGATTCCCAGTTGGGAGAAGGTAGGAAATTTTTGAAATTCGCCCCACCCATTCCGCAACCTTTATGGCGTCCATTAGATGGATCCTACCATTCTTTCATTTTTAACTTGTCCCACATTAGAAAATTAGTAAACTTGTTTTAAATTTTAAATAGGAGTTTATTTACACTCCTTAGAAATATAAGAGTAGAATATGGATGTTTGCTATTGTGCAACGCGCACGCACGCATGTGTGCGATACAATGAGGCACTTTAGAGGCACACTTTGCTCACACTTGAATCAAAGAACATTTTCTGAACTAGCACCCTCATCTTCTAAATGTCTCATAGATGGTTTCTCCTTCAACTTTATTGGTTGTAGATTCTCACCCAAGGCTTTGTTAAACTCAATAAAACTGAGTAGGGGGTAAATAAGTTTTCTTCCAAGTTTCCATGACCCTAATTCCTAACAATGAGCAAATATAAAATTATATATACTTGTAAACATTATTATATATATGTATATATATTTGCATGTTATATTATATTTTTAACATATTGTATATTATTGTTCATATAAACAAATAGTTGCACGATGAAAATTGAATGATGATAGATGAATTGTTTATATACATATGAATCATACAGAAAAATTAACAATGTATTAAATTCAAAAAATGAACTAAGAACGTAACGATAATTATGATTCTGTGTGATTCAAAACACAGTCACAAACACAATCACAACTTTAAATGCTTATAATGGTTCAAAGTTAAAACCAATATTTTCATTTTCACTGGTGAGATTTCATTTATCACCAATGCGAAGCTAACAATTATTTTTCAACAAGAAGATAAAATCAGACGACTCGGGGCTGTTTGATAATGGCTGAAAATGAAATTGCTGAGCTGAAAGAATTATTGCTTTTTCTTTACTCTTTAGTCAATAAAATAATTATATCATAAAGTTTTAGAGATAATATCACTATGACTGGGCAACCCAACATGCCATTATACTTGTTGGTTCATTCATTAAAAAAACAAAAGTACTAAGTAATAAGTCATTCAGTTCAGCCGGCCACCTCAGTACTGCTCATTGGGCAAAATAAAATACATATTCCTTACATATTTGTAAAATCCCTCGATTTTCACACCGTAATGATCTCAAAATAAAAAAAAAAGAAGGTAATGGAATCACTCCCACCTTAAAGTAAATGCTAAGATTCACCCGCTCTATTTGTCACTTTTTTTAGTATAATATAATAATATAACAGCGATGATAAATCTTGTATCTTCACTTTGAGTGAAAACTAATGCAAGATAAGGTCCAAAGAAACAATAAAAAACTGAAAAGATATAACAAAGAAGTCATTAATGGGTTTATTTCTTTCTTTACCTTTATTAGCCCTTAGCCCAATATATCCTTGTTAAATATTAACCTTAACCCACAGCTGAATGCTAACCCTTCTCATTTCTCCAACCCAGATCCCACTCTGTCTACCTTAAACAATCTGCTGGTTTTGCTTACCGAAAAAAACCCAGTTGCTGGTTTTTATCTCTTCACTTTTCCTCCCTTATACCTTTGGGTTTTTTTCCTATCTAAGGTCTAGACCATATACATCCCCCTTACAAAGAAACTTAGCAAAAATCATCTTCTTTTTGTCATTAGTCTATTTTCTATTTCCTATCATCTCCCCTTTACCTTTGATTAAAATGTCCATCCATCTCTCCAAGGACTCAACAGCAACGCCTACTCCCCCCACTACAGCTACAACTACAAAAACAACAGTGTCTCCACAAACGCCATCCAACAACACAAATGAAGATTCAGACCCTTCTAAGCTCTATCCTTCGCCAGTTGCGGAATATGAGGAAGTTGTTCAAAATGCAGAGATGTTCATGGAAACACTTAAGGATCTTCACAGGTCGCTTGGAACTAAGTTTATGTAAGCATCTGTAGTCCAAAACTCTTGTTCGCTACTGAGTTACTTTTCTGGTACCAAACAGGTTCTTCTGATCACGACGTTCTTACGGTTATTTTGGGTTTTCTCTGTTGTTTTTGTTTTGGGTTTGATTTTTTTTTTTGTTTCTTTTTTTTGTGTGTTTTTGTTCCGTGTTTTGAATATTTGGAGCATATAGAGCTTTATGGGTCTTTGAAATATATATATATATATATATATATATATATTTTATGTCAGCATTTTAGTCCAAAACTCTCTTCTTCGCTACTGAGTTCCTTTCTTGGTACCACCTGGGTTCCGCTGATCACGACGTTCTTAAAGTTATTTTGGATTTTCTCTGTTATTTTTGTTATGGGTTTTGATTTGTTGTTTTTATTCTGGGCTTGATTTCCTTGAGGTGGTTTTTCTGTTCCTAATGTTTTGATCCATATAGAGTTTTATGGGTCTTTTGAAACTTGAAATACATTTTGTTCTTTTTTTTTTTTAAAAATTTTTATGCGCTTTTTCATTCCAAAAATGTGCACTGGTTCTTCTGTGCATTCCTGTTTTACATGTCAGAAGATTGGTCATTGCAATCATCTATACATTTTTTGGTACTTGTTCTCTTTGACTATCAAAAGAAAAATGGTATTTGTTCTCTTTTCCTGAAAAAGATTACATCTTTTCGTATGGTGGTTCTTGGGCTTCCCCGCATTTATCTTAGCGTAACGTTGTTGTGTCGAAAAATGTCATCTTTTTGACTTTTTTATTTTCCCGAGAAACTTTGCTTCTTCTGGGTGTTTTTTGGGGAGGGGGGTATTTGCTCTGCTCTGATCAACGTCTTCACCCTTCTTTGATTGCGCACATCACACAATATCTTCTTTTTGCTGGGCAAGCTAGTCAATAGCAAGTTATTTATGTTGCAGAACAAGTAAAAAATGCAAGTTATTTATGTCTGAAGATGGGATCAGAACTGAAGCCTCAGATCTTTTTCATCAATTACTCATCACGCATATTCCATTTTTTGTTCCCCCCTTACGGCTCCATTTTTTTCATTGTAAAAGGGGTGCCAAAGTTCTCAGTGTAAAACATTCAGCTATATTTTCCCCCCTTCAGTGAAAATATAACTTTCTGCCCCTTAAATATCGCAGCAGACATGGTCTAGAGAATTTTCATGGGCGTTTCTTTCCACTTTAGTTTTGGAGTGCTCTAATATTTTGGTGTTTTGAGATGCTTGATTTATCTCATTTTGGTTGAAACAGGACTTTGCATTATTCTTCACTGAATACATTTTTTCTATTTTTAGTTTCATTTATCTCTTCCTATCCCATTAGAGCATGTGTTCAACTAGCACTCTTTTTTGGTAATATGTTTGAGCTACACTTTGTCTTGTGGAAACAGAACATTGATGCATTCAATGTTCTGGTCAGAGAAGCAAGCGGCATTCAAGAGAGTTGAATGCAATTTTTGTTGGGTATAGAGATCAGCAAATGGAATGGTCAATATTCTAGCAGGACAGGGGGACCGGTAGAGAGCAAATTTTTTGGGGTGTCACAGACACTAATGGGGATTGATGTAATGTAAACAGAATCTTATACATTACTAAGACAGGGAAATATGACAATATGATGATGCGCTTGGTACTGCTTGTGGCCTTTGTAATGTATACTCTATTTTCCACTACTTAATGAAATTGATGATAAGTTACCCAAAAAACAGAACATTGATGCATTAACATGAAAATCTGTATCAGCTAAGGCATTTTCCCCACTGGAATTCTATTGTAACTAGACAATATTGACTTCTAAAGATTTTTCCATGTTATAAGTCCATTTGTGCTGTATACATGAGGAAAAAATTGGTAACTTAAGTATAATTTGTCCATGGGTCATGTTGGACTGTATGGATGTGAGGAGAACTACTGATGTTTCTTATGGGTGGAAACTAAACATTAAAGAATCTGGTTTGTCAAGCTGGTACTGTCTATGCAGATTGTTATCTAACAAAGTGAAAATCATTTTCACTTACTCACCCATTAATTATCTGCTTGGTTACAAAGAAAAGAGAGTCAATGTTTATTTTGATAATCTCTCCATTGTATCATTTTACAGGGTACCTACCATGGGTGGGAAGTCTCTAGATCTACATCGACTTTTTGTGGAGGTTACATCGCGGGGTGGTCTTGAGAAGGTATGAATGATTACACTTTCTGAGTTGCAATAAGTTGCTTCTCATTTTATAAGAGGCTGGAATTGGTATTTGGATTTTGTCTAGCAAGCTGAAGTTATAGTCAAATTCCAAGCTAAATGTGACTTTTCAAAATGTCTGCATTTTGATCTATGCAATATTATGAAGAAATGTTGGCTCTCATTTTCATATAATTTGTTGCCCAACTTCAACTGCGTAAACATTTCAGATATGCCTTAAGCAATGCCAAGTAGCTGCAGGAACATCCTTAGAGCATCTGTTTCTACTTATTACCTTGTTTTACCAATTCAGCTCAAATACGGAGGGGTGAAACTCTTGAACCTAAATAATTATTATGCTGATTGAAAACAAGAACCTGGAGCACAAGATTGCCAAAATAAAAAATATACGGGTTCGACAGCATCTCATAACATCTGTTAATATCTATATCTACATCTGTGTGTTCCAAGTGTGCATGGATTTGTTTGTTAATTTTAGTAATAAATAATAGATTATAGTTACTTATAAAATGATAAATGGCCTAATTGTAGAGTGAGAGATTTGGTGGGTTGGGAGAAGGTGGATAATCACAGGAAAATAGCAAGAAAGTGTAGATGGCAGGCATATTTGTTCCCAAGTCATCTCCTGACAAATCATCTTTGTATTTATGGCTAATGCTGAGGAGTTTATGATATAAAATACACTTGAGAAAGTCCAATGTTTGGACAAAGATGACGAGTCATATGGTGTCTACTTTTTTTCCCCTTTTGCAAATAGCCAATTACTTTTTTTTTGGGGGGGGGACTCATCTTTGCTTGATATTCTTATTTGGTCATTAATGGATTTGGTAAGTCTTTTATTAATTGTTAAATATAATAGTGCAATATGAAATCCATTCCTATTAGGGAAACTGTTGCCTACCTGAAATTTACAACCTGCCTACCTCAGGTTCCTAATACTATAAAACCCTGTCTATTCCACTTCTAGCAAGAGAATCTGCCATCTCATTGGCTGATCTCCTCAACTGGATGAACAAAGTATTCTAACTTGAAGCTAAATTTGGTACTTTTACATCCATAGACCTCTTTTCTCATGCAACATACACCTAGATACCACTTGTAGTCACATTCCAACTCTAGATTAGAGTGGCCTAGGGAAATACAGTATCATACCTTGGAGAAGTAAGGCAAGCATGGGACCAGGGAAAGAATCCATGGAGAAAGAAATCAATTTTTTCCCAATTCATCATCCAAGGGCAATTCATAATTTTTGGGTGTTTTGGATTTTGGTATTTTTGAGTGTTTCCAACTTTATTTTCTAGTTTGTTAATGTCTTGGGAATAGGGTTAAGTTTCAATTTCACTCTTCATCATTAATTTCAATATTCCATATCCAGTACAATCAATTAAATTCAGTAACATAGTACAACACACCATATTTAAAATAATTAAAGTGTCAAGTCAATAGCCTAGTGAATAAGAAATTCAAGAAGGTCTACAAGAGAGGGAACAGAAGTTATTCAAAGATGACATCCGGAGATGCCGATGGTAAGGATCTCCGGGTTGGTTCTAACCAGGACCAGCAATTGGGGACTCAACAGCGGGGGGAATCAATAGGGAATAATTCTGCTTCCATTGTAAGAGATTGCGATAAAATCTGTGGGAGGAAGGTGGTGAATTCAGGAAGTATCTCCATTGAGGAAGCGGCTAAAAAAGATGTAGAGGTTGGCAAAAGCCTGGATCCGTTTTTCTGGGGTGGAGAGGAATTTGCTAGGAAAGCCTTTGAAGAGTTTGAGAGGAAGAAGAGAGAAGAAACCCAGAAGGAGAAGAAAAACAGAGGTGGGAGGTGGAATGAGATTGCAATAAAATCTGTGGGAGGAAGGTGGTGAATTCAGGAAGTATCTCCATTGAGGAAGCGACTAAAAAAGATGTAGAGGTTGGCAAAAGCGTGGGTCTGTTTTTCTGGGGTGGAGAGGAATTTGCTAGGAAAGCCTTTGAAAAGTTTGAGAGGAAGAAGAGAGAAGAAACCCAGAAGGAGAAGAAAAACAGAGGTGGGAGGTGGAATGAAGATGGCAACAATCAGGAGGAGGTTTTTGAAGGGGAAGATTAGGGCCTTGGTTCCGATAGGATTGCTGATGATCGTGTTGAAGTCTTCTTTTTATTTTAAGTCTTGTAGTTGGTGGGGTTTCTGAGTCAGTAATCATGTTTTCTCTTGGGTGATATCTTATCACCTTCCTTATGGAATCTTCTTTTTATTTTAATGAAAGTTTTATTTTACTTTTCAAAAAAAGAATATTATATATGCAATATTTATTTATTTATTTATTTATGATAATTATTATATATGCAATATTTATGTTACACCCTTCTACATACATGTTCAGCACCTTCTTAGGCAAGGAGAAGGGCAAGACAGACATAAGGTGTCAGCCTTGCTGTATTGCCTTTCTCCTTGCCTAAGAAGGTGCTGAACATGTATGTGAAAGGGTGTGATATAAATATTCCCCGTCCTCCCAAGTAAATATCTTGTTACCTAGGTATAGGCATGTCACTTGGGCACCTGCCTAGGCATCACCTCAACAACTATGCCTTTAACAATTCAGCAAATTATTGTTTTAGTTTAAGAATGAAGTGCGCAGTCTTCTTTTTTCCTACATTCCATATTGAAGACTTTGGTATTTTGGATTCTCTAGGTGGTAAGAAATTTGTTTATTAGCAATGCATTAGGTTCCTCCTTGAAAGTTTTGATGTCCAAGTTTGTAATCATTGGCCTTATGTATGGATAAACTCATATGGAACATAAACTAATTGCCATTAGATTCAACTTGCTCTTTGATGTAGGACTGGTATGACCCAAGGATAATTCTCGGAGGCTAAACATGGGCTAAGTAGGGTTTAGGGATGACATTTTTTTTGATAGGAAATGGTAACTTTCATTGATGAGATTAAAAAAGTACATCTGTCACCACCCAAAGGGATGGCTAGAGAATCCAAAAACATAAACAATCCTACAAACAAGCCCAAAACAAAGCCTCCCTGTTTACTCCTTGCTTAGCTAAAGCATCGGCAATTCCATTTGCTGATCTTCTTGCCCATTTAAACTGCACCCTTAAGTCCCTTGCTAAGTTCAAAATTTCCTTGGCGGTTGGTTGCCTGAAAGACCACATACCCAAACTTCTTGCTTGCATCCAACTTATTACCAGTTTGGAGTCACCTTCCACTTCCAACTGTTGCATTCTCCACTGTTTTGCCCGTCTAAGACCTTGAAGTAGGGCCTTTATTTCTACCCTATTTCAAGGATGATTTTTGGACTTAAATAAAGGATTAATATGGATTAGAAAGGTTTGGGTTAAATTATTGAGAACTATAGATTCTTTGTATGATTGTGGAAAAAATATCAAATTCAAATACTAAGTGTAGGGATGTGATTTGATTGAAAAATGCATTTTTTTTTCTAGTTCGTACAAAGTTTTAGTATGAGGAGCTTTTAATATATTCATTGGAGGTGATGGGGAGTTGATATATTTTCTATTTCTTGGTTTATTGATGTTGTTTTAGGGGAGACCACAACTAGAAGTATTCTGGTCGTTTTTTTCTTTTTCTTTTTTTTTTTTTTTAATGTTGAAGAGTGTTATATATAAATGAAAAAGGGTTATACACATTCCTGATGTAGGCTTCATTAAATTAAATTTTGATGGCAGTAGTTTGGGCAACCCGGGGCCATCTGGAATAGGGAGAGTCTTTAGAAATGCTGAGGGCCAGATTGTAGCTCTATTTTCTGGTCCTATAGGGATGGGAGATTCAGTTAATGCAGAACTCCAAGCTGTGATACAAGAGTTGGCAGTGGAGCATTTAATGATTGAAGGTGACTCCAAATTGGTTATTGGATGGCTAAAAGAACTGGAGATGGCAGCCTGGCCTTACAGGGGGGCTTTGAGAAGATTTAAGTGGCTAACATCAAATATTTCAGTCACAGTTCAATGGGAAAGAAGACCAGAAATTGGGCTGGCAGATTTCCTAGCCAAACAAGGAGTACATAGGAATCAGCTCTTTTGGGCTCACTTGTAAGCTTTATTATGTAGTTTGGACGCTGCACCTCGCACCTCTTTGTGGGGAGTTGTATGATGTATACTGTGTTTTATTCTAATTAATAAAATTATCATTATCTATAAAAAAGGCTTATACACATTGTTCTTTTTTTCTCTTCAAATCGTTTGTTCTCCTTTCCTCTATCTCTCTTCTTTTCATGGAGTTTTGAAGAAGCTGATCAATGCCATTTGGATTGCCTTGTTTTAGATGATTCTTGGAAAAATTACTGAAGGTTAGTTGTTGCTTAAGAAAGTTTCTTGAAATTGTTCCAAAAAAAATCAAGAAGCATTTTTGTCAGGTTTGGTGATTTTTTCTTTGGTGCTTACTGCTTAGGTATTTCTAGATTGGTTTGGCGATTCTAGAGTGGGTGGTGTTGATTCTTGGGGAGTGAGCACCCCCTATTTTTTTAGTTTCTACCAGTCCTTGTAGGGGTGATCTCTTGTACTTTGTGTAGTGCTACAATTATCTTTTGGAAATTGGTCCAAAGGGTTGAATTTGATTCTATTTTTTGTTTCTGATCATCAAATATTAATATGAACTCTTCTATGAGTTTAGTGATTCCAAGTAGAGCATGGATCTCGGGTGTGTTGCTAGTGGTTCTGGGGATAATCTAAACATCCAAGTAATCACTATAAAAGTTGATGGGAACAATTTTTAGGAGTCGGCATAATCATCCCACATGTATATCAGAGGGCATGGAAAGATAGGCTATCTCATACCCTCTAAGTTAGAGCTAGATCTTAAGGACTCGAAATCAATGTTATCAAGATCTTACGATTTACAATATGATTCATGATTTAAATCATGAATCCTAAGGGCTTCGGTTCAAATCTATGTCTGAATCCTTTTCTGCAAAAATCATATGATTTGACTCATAAATCTTATGATTTATATGATTCCTACAATTCAAATCAAT